AGTATAAACCAGTATAAACCAGTATAAACCAGTATAAACCAGTATGATAATCCATCAATTTCCCCCATTTTTCCCACAAAAAAACCCCAAAAAATTCCAAAAAAATCCCAAAAAATTCCAAAAAAATCCCAAAAAAATCCCTGGGGCCCCTCCCAGTATAAACCAGTCCAAACCAGTATAAACCAGTCCAAACCAGTATAAACCAGTATAAACCAGTATAAAAATCCATCAATTTCCCCCATTTTCCCCCCCAAAATTCCAAAAAAAAATCCAAAAAAATTCCCAAAAAAATTCCAAAAAAATCCCAAAAAATTCCCAAAAAAATCCCTGGGGCCCCTCCCAGTCCAAACCAGTATAAACCAGTATAAACCAGTATAAACCAGTATAAACCAGTATAAACCAGTCTAAACCAGTATAAACCAGTATAAAAATCCATCAATTTCCCCCATTTTTCCCCCAAAAATTCCAAAAAAATTCCAAAAAAATCCCAAAAAATTCCCTGGGGTCCCTCCCAGTCCAAACCAGTCCAAACCAGTATAAACCAGTATGGACCATTATAAACCAGTATAAACCAGTATAAACCAGTATGATAATCCATCCATTTCCGTCATTTTTCCCACAAAAAAACCCCAAAAAATTCCAAAAAAATCCCAAAAAAATTCCAAAAAAATTCCAAAAAAATCCCAAAAAATTCCCTGAGGCCCCTCCCAGTCCAAACCAGTCCAAACCAGTATAAACCAGTATAAACCAGTATAAACCAGTATGATAATCCATCAATTTCTCCCATTTTCCCCCCCAAAATTCCAAAAAAAATCCAAAAAAATTCCCAAAAAATTCCAAAAAAATTCCAAAAAAAATCCAAAAAAATCCCAAAAAAATCCCAAAAAATTCCCTGAGGCCCCTCCCAGTCCAAACCAGTATAAACCAGTATAAACCAGTAGAAAGCAGTACCAGACAGAGTCGGTGTTGAGGCGCTCCAGCGGCCGCATGCTCTCGTCCAGGTAGATGTCGGTGGTCAGCGAGGTGTCGGTGTCGTGGGCCGAGTTGTAATTGGTCACCGTGCGGGTGGGCAGCCCCAGGCAGCGCAGGACTGACCAGTAGAAACCAGTATAAACCAGTTTGGACCGGTATAAACCAGTATAAACCGGTATAAACCGGTATAAACCGGTATATGGCAGAATAAGCCAGTTTAAAGGGGTTTAAACCAGTATAAACCAGTATAGAAATGGTTTCTGCCCCAGTTTGACTCAGTTATGACCAGTATAAACCAGTATAAACCAGTCTGGACCAGTATAAACCAGTATAAACCAGTATAAACCAGTATAAACCAGTATAAACCAGTATAAACCAGTCCAAACCAGTACAAACCAGTATAAACCAGTACAAACCAGTATAAACCAGTATAAACCAGTATAAACCAGTATAAACCAGTCTGGACCAGTATAAACCAGTATAAACCAGTATAGGGCAGAACAAGTCACTTTAAAGTGGTTTAAGTCAGTTTAAACCAGTATAAACCAGTATAGGGATGGGTTATGTACCAGTTTGACTCGGTTCTGACCAGTATAAACCAGTTTGGACCAGTTTGGACCAGGATAAACCGGTTTGGACCAGTTTAAACCAGTACAAACCAGTAACCCCAGATCCCCATTTTTAACCCTTTCTTTGCCGAATTTTCCCCATTTTTTCCCATTTTTTCCCCATTTTTTCCCCATTTTTCCCCCTCCCAGTCCCTCCCAGTATAAACCAGTACAAACCAGTAACCCCAACCCCCATTTCTGCCATTTTTAACCCTTTCTTCCCCATTTTTAACCCTTTATTTACCATTTTAACCCTTTATTTACCATTTTTAACCCTTTCTTTCCCATTTTTTCACCGTTTTTCACCATTTTTTCACCGTTTTTTCCCATTTTTTCCCCATTTTCCCCCTCCCAGTCCCTCCCAGTATAAACCAGTAACCCCAACCCCTATTTCCCCAATTTTTAACCAATTTTTACCCATTTTTAACCCTTTCTTTCCCATTTTTAACCCTTTCTTTGCCATTTTTTCCCATTTTTTCACCGATTTTTCCCGTTTTTTCCCCGTTTCTCCCCATTTCTCCCCCTCCCAGTCCCTCCCAGTCCCTCCCAGTATAAACCAGTACAAACCAGTACAAACCAGTAACCCCAGACCCCATTTCCCCCTTTTTTCCCCCATTTTTAACCCATTTTTTGCCATTTTAACCCTTTATTTCCCATTTTTAACCCTTTTTTTGCCATTTTTTCACCAATTTTCCCAATTTTCCC